CTCTCCAGAATGGCTCCATCTGGGTGAGTCGGTTCCGCAATATCGTCGACTACCTCCGCCAATACTCGGAGGGAGCATGGAACCTGGATCAAAACCTAGACGATGTGCAAAAAGCCGATAGCGTTGCGTACGCGCCCCATACTCCTATATTGGCTTCAGAAACACAAAATACTAACAACAAACCCACCCCTCAGCTTCTCCTCCTTCATCGAATCCCGCGGCCAATCCCTCATCGACCTCTCCCTCTACGTAACCAGCCAGAACTACTACGCCAACACATCCCCAGCTTACGGCTCTCTCCTCCAATGGCCAAACCAATGGATCCTCCCGCCCAAGCTCCACAGCGCCGCCAAAACCCGCACCGAACACCTCGGCCTATCCTCGCTAGACCTGCAAGCAATGGAAGACCAGCGCAAACGCGAGCACTCCGCCGCCGTAGCATCCGGCCAAATCCCTAGCAACATGATCCAGCAGCCCCGCGACACAGTCTCCAAACTCCTCGGCCGCACAGCCCAAACCAACCAATTCCGCCTGGAAGCCCTAACAGCCGACTTCTTCGAGCCGCTCGAAGTAATGCTCGCCCGCAGCAAGATCTGTCTGCTCCCCGCCGATGACAACAACAACCCCTCCTCACTGGACTGCATCGCGTTGGGCTACCTGTCGCTGGCTCTCGTACCGGATCTAGCCTTCCCCTGGCTGCGCGACGCGATGCGCGCCAAGGCCCCACTTCTGGCGGCGTACACGGAGCGCATGCGCAGTCGCTGTTTCGGCGACGCCCCCATCGAGGCTAAGCATGCTTTCCAGCCGACTACGCCAGCTTCCCTGCCGTGGCGCGCACCTGAGCGTATCTCTGTCGCTGCTGTCGGGACTACACTCCTCGGCACGCTGGCGGATAACACTCCGTTCTTGCGCGAAGTGCGCCAGAATAGGCGGTTGAAGCAGGCGGTTGAGGCTGATTCGGCGTTTAGCTCGATTGAGAAACAAGTTCTGTCATCGTATGCGGATTCTAGTAACAAGGATATGTTGCTGTCTATTGCAACTGCTGTGGCGGGGACGGCTGCTCTCGTTGGGTATATGGTGCATGTGGGCTTGCTTTCTTTTTCGACTGGAGGTGTCCAGGAAGAGGAGGAGTTTGAGGAAGATGCGGGTGTGTTGCAGGTTGATCCTGGGTCTGCAGCTGACTTCCTGGGCGCGTTCTAAGTATTGAAAACTCCTTGCGTCTGGTTCCGTGGATATTACGAGGTTGGTGTTTTGTTTTACTATTTTAGGTGGAAGCGAAGGCTGTACGATAGAATTGCGTTCTGCCCTTTGTACTTGTGTCTTGGCCTTCCTACGGTTCCTCGCCACATCAAAATTGTAGGTCCTTGATCTGGTCCTCTACTCGAAATGTCTCCTTTGTTCTTAGCTTTATAATCCGAACTCAAATTAAGATTCCTTTGCTTGCTATAGTCAATAATGGAGTTCCCAAAGAAAACCTTGGTAATATCCATCTTCGGTGGATATCACTGCATGTATGCTGGCATTCCTCCGAAGCCCTAACTCTGAACTTGACATCTCACATTCAGCCACGGAAATTCTTGAAACTGCCTGAATATTGTCCTGAGGTCATAGAAATTTCGACTTCATCAGTCAATATAACAACCCTAACTATAACTAAAACATGCACGGATAGTTAGTTCAGCCTCATGCAAGCCATCCAATATAGTACCGAAATGATATCACATCGGCTTTGGAGTAATGAGACTTGGCAATAGATAAGGGTTCGTTTCAGGCTTATGACTGACAAACTGGCGTCGGCACTAATGATCCTGTGAGATTAGACTGGGGTAGATGTCTATATGTAGGTATCAGCGCTTAATATTAGATACAATGAAGTATACATAGTAACTGGTTCTAGATGAAAGGAAAAAGGAAATGATATCAACTCTCAAATCAGATGGTATATGTACAGAGAATAAGATGAAAGGACGCGAATCATGACCACAAAGATATGTATGAACTCCTAAACGGAAAAAAAGGTATCCGTCGAAGAGCCGCTCGAAGATGGAAGGATGTGTGGCCAGGATGGTTGCTGGGGCAAGCGACCTGCGCACGCACACATCAAATCAGGGGGAAGATACAAAGACACCTTCGGCGTTGAACCATTTGCGCAAGAAAGACAAAATCTCAGTAGAGAGGATGAGATTGCTGAAATTGGGACGAGATAACAAAAAAAACATGGGAGTGGTCATTTAAGAGGACCAGCCAAGGTTGACAACGAGGCGGACGGGGCCAGCGGACTGGGAGACGGCCTTGTCGGGCTTGCCCTGGTCGGCGGCAGTGTAGGCGCTGACAACGCTGGAAGCGCCCTGGGAGATGGAGGAGCACTTTTCACCTGCGTGGTTGCAAATCTGCATACCAGCGATGTGCAGGTCGGCGAGCTCAGCGATAATGCAAGAAACATCCCAGCCGGAGAAGCCGTCGTTCTGGGAGTTGCTCATGTCGAACTCACCCCAGGTGGAGGCATACTCGCCGACCTTGTTGGTAGGAAGACCTTCGCCCTCGGAGGCACCCCAACCACCCTGGGAGTTGTCATCGATGGCAATGTAGGTGCTGTGGCCGGGCTCGACGGTGAAGCTCAGAGCCGCGTTGGGGCTCCAGAAACCGTTCAGACCGCCGCTGGGGCCGTACGAGTTCCACATGACGACGGTCCAGGCCTTGGAGTTGTCGTTCTCGAAGCGAATAACGTGCTTGTACTCGCTGGCGGTGTCCTCTTCGACACGGATAATGTTGCTACCCCAGGGGCTGCCGACGTTGCCGATGTAGTCCCAGTCGAGGGAACCGACGCGCTTGCTGGCAGTGGAGGAACCGAATCCTGCGGTGGAGTACTTGCCGTCGGAGGGGTAGTTGGCCCAGTTGCTGGAACCGGAAGAGCTGGAGCCGGAGGAGCTGGAGGCAACGGGGGTAGGCTTGACGGTCTCGATGGCCTCCTCGGTGGTGGACGGGGCGGCGGCAGTGGTAGTGGGAGCAGCGGTAGACGTGGGGGCCTCGGTGGTGGAAGCAGCCTCAGAAGTGGAGGACTCGCCGAACCAGTTGTTGATCCAGTGGACGAGCTTGCCGTCGATGGTAGCAGCGACGACATCTTCATCACGCTTATCAACATTGGCAACCTGGGGGGCAGCAGTGACGGCGGGCTCGACGTCAATGTCGGCGACGGCTCTGACATGATTGTGACGGCGGTCGTGGCCGTGAAGACGAGCGACAGCCGACCCTGCGGTCAGCGCCGTCATCAACAGCATAGAGTTGGAGAAATGCATCTTAGGAATTGAACTTGAAAATGAGTGACTTGAGCGAAAGCTCTGGACGAAAATTCAATTCAAATGAATGTGTGAGGATGAAGAGAGAAGAAGAGAAGAAAGTGGACTAGGGGGGGACTATTAGTACAATACCAAATTACACACCAACGGGTCTGGGACCTGAACCCAAAAAAGAAACTCCAAAATATCAGGGGCCAACGATTTATTATTGGTCCGTTCCTGGCGGTTCCTGGCCGTGCGCGAATTTTATTTGACCTGATTGGTTGGCTGCCAAGGGCCCAGACTCTATTCTCTAGGTATTGTGTACTTGGCTACACTATGCCTCTCCGGCTGTGCAAGTACGTATAGCATACTTGGGATAAGGGGTTGTCTCTCTCCTATTACCTATTCTGCATTATAGACATGTTCTACTATTAGAATTTCTATTATTGGGATTCATATTGTTCTATAGTTGCCTAATGTCAAACACGTGTACCATCGGAATGCTGACCTCGAATATGTGGACGTCACTCCATCAGAGCCCAACGTTGATACTTATGTTTATATGACCAACGTTCTGTAAATTTTCCATATGCACAAAGAACGTTCAAACTTACACATACACCTAGAACACCACCTAGGTATATCCCCGTCATCCCAGAATTCCCCACATAAACCAATCGGCGTAGTCCACAGCAAGGATCTGAACTGTCTTACGAATCCCCACGGCAATCTTAAATGAGGACAACTCATCACCGTATATCTTCACCTGCAACTACATGGATAATAACCAGCATCTTATAACCATGTTAGTACCCAACTCATTACAGATTACATTACACTCCATGTCAGAATTAATATAGGGATTGTCATCACCCTGTCAATCGTATCCACGGATGTGCGCACAACAGGACGAATCTCTGCCGTTGATCTGCGGCCAGACCCCTACGCGGCCGATGGGTCCTCGATATTTTTCTGTAAGGCACACACCCATTTGTATATTCAATGTTAGTGTCCAAGCCATTCCCCACCCGCATGACGAGTCTTCGGATCGTCTCCATAATGGCAGACCGAAACTGACTCGTCGGGAATCCAGGCCTTCTAACTCGGCAAAATGGGGCTGAATGCTCGTGAGGTCGTTTCATGTGTTTAGTCTCATTGAAACTTTAAGCTCCTTGAAGGCTCCGTACTCCGTACAACATACATTGTATGTAGTACAGTATGCTCCGTATACTAATACTGTATCCTCGGTATGAATGGTATACGGAGTACCTTTTGCCACAGGTGTCTCCTGAAACATTAGGGTTATCCGTGCAGGAAACCCCTGGCAGACTCCTTGATGCAGGTACCCACGACCTTGAATAAACACTCTAATCACAATCATTCTAAACACCCTTAAACGCCTCAGTGTAGAAAAACTGTAAAGAAATGGGTTGGTCAATAAACACAACCAAGGTCGACACGGGAGGATCCTCGGTTTGATCGATCTACGACTTATCCTATTGGCTGTGGGAAATTAAATCTGCTGTCAGTACCCGTGAACCATAACCATAAAAGAAAACCACATGGCTCTACATATTTTGATGGTAATTTAAATTAGAGATCCAGATAATTGAAGAAACCCGTCAAAGAATCTACTTTCTAATGGATGTGGCTGCAAAATAGAAACATACGACGGGTAGAGACGATACCAGTATTTACACATCATCTCCGTTCGGCGGTAGTTCATTTATCTCTCAAGTCCACGCCACCATCAAACGCCACACCACCAGCGGCCGCATCCAACTTAAGACTATCATCCAGCCCACAGACTCTGAACAGCATCTGAGGCGTCACCTCCGCATCGAGACCAGGCAAGCCATCACGCTTCAATTTCTCCAACCCCTCCCGCATAGCCAGGAGAGCCGGACCCAAGGTCGCAAATGGGAAGATAATAACCCGGAACCCAATCTCCTTGGCCTCCTTGGCAGAAATTGAAGGCGTGGAACCATGTTCCACCATATTCAACAACAGAGGCCACGGCGCAAGGTCGGCCACAACACGGTGAGCCATTTCTCTTGACGAAATGCCCTCTAAGAACCCGACATCCGCGCCCGCATCCCTCGCCGCCCGCAGCCGCGCCAAGCTCTCTTCATAGCCGTGCTGCTGCAGCGAGTCCGTCCGCGCAATGATCACGATATCACTGCCGATGCGTTCGCGCGCTTGCACAGCCGCCCGGATGCGGCTGGTGTAGGCTGCCGTGTCGACGAGCTGCTTGCCGAAGAGGTGTCCGCACCGCTTGGTCTGTACTTGATCCTCGATGTGGAAGGCCGCTACGCCGGACCGCGCGTATTGCTCTGTCGTGCGGGCTACCATGATCGGCCCGCCGTAACCGGTGTCGGCGTCGGCGATCAGCGGTGTGCGCGGTGAGAGGTTTGCTAGCATCTCTGCGTTCGCTCGCATGTCGTTCAGCGTGCAGATTCCGAGGTCCGCTTGGCCATGTACCGAGGCTGCTGTTCCAGCGCCTGTCTGGTTGGTTTGTGTCAGCTCGGGGATTTCGACGGGACGCCTTCGCATTGCATACCATGTATAGCGCTTCGAAGCCTGCTGCCAGCGCCAGTCGTGCTGACATTCCGTCATAGACTCCTGGGGCTGTGATGAATACTTGGGGATCTTGCAGAGATCGCCGCAGACTGGTTGCTGCCGATGGAAGAGCCATGATTGTTGTCTTATGCTCACGGAGATAGTGACCTTGCTGGGGCTAATCCGATATACGTGTAGCTATAGTCTAAGTGCAGACTGGGGGTTGATATACGCTCGTTTCAGAAAATGAGCCGCGCGGATAGCTTTCTCCCCGAAGGTAGGACCTCATGGCATTCGCACGTGAGAGACAAGCTTTTGCTCATCACTTCCCCACCCATGAGTTCTTTCGGGCAATTCCTCGATGACGCGCACTCTCCACTTATCCAGAGCGGTGCCGATACCGCCCCCCTTGTGCGCCTTTATATCAACATTCTAACGCATCTGGGCGTCTTAGAAGATATATCTAGACTCGATATTGATCCAGTGAGGATTAATTAGTGTAGATGTGATTGCCGGAATCCTGATTGTTGCGGGTGTTGCATGAATTAATTTTGGACTATACCAAGACTTAGGATCTCCAATGTCACAATTATTATACCAAAAAGAACCCAAATGATTTGGCAATGTTGAACATGCAGGCCTTGGGGGCTATGAGCTTCGGCAATTCAAGCGGGGTATTTAATTACCTGCATAGTTTTCACTGAATTGTCGCAGACGTAGTACATGCAGTATGCAGTATAAATACCTAGTCTGTAGTGATGATATAGGCCGAAGCCCTTCTATCCAACTCCTTTCCTCCTTTGCTCCTTCTTATTTCTTCGTTGAAGAGCGGGAAACATGCAAGATTGGCCCCGCCCGCCGATCTGCTTAGTCATGAATTTCCTTCGGTCCCATCTCGAATTCCATTCATCCTATCTGAAATGGACGTTCTGGTGTTCCTAATTCTTTAATTCCCGGTCCTTTACCCAAATATCTGCCTCGATGGCTCGCTCATCCGTCGTTCAAGAATATGCATCGCCCTCCACCCCGAACCCGACCATCACCATCGACCAAAAGTCCGCTGCCGAGCTCCAGAACTTACAAATAGCTCGTCCAAAAGGCTATCGGGTATCATGGCACGCCAATCCAGCCGTTGAGCCCCACCACTTTGGCCAGTCACATCCAATGAAGCCATGGCGGCTCACGCTCACCAAACAGCTCGTCATGGCGTACGGCATGCACCATGCCATGGACCTGTATCTCGCGCGCGCAGCGACCTACGAGGAAATGGCCGAATTCCACGAGAGAGACTACCTCGACTTCCTCCAGCAGATCATGCCTGGCGACATGGACAAGCCCGAGCAATCAGATAACGTGGTGCGCTTCAACTTCGGCGACGACTGTCCCATCTTCGACGGCCTGTACAGCTACTGCTCGCTATACGCCGGCGGCAGCGTCGACGCGGCGCGCAAGCTCTGCAACGACCAATCCGACATCGCAATCAACTGGTCTGGCGGCCTCCACCACGCCAAAAAGGCCGAAGCCAGCGGCTTCTGCTACGTCAACGATATCGTTCTGGGCACGCTCCAGCTCCTCCGCCACCACCCGCGCGTCATGTACATCGACATCGACGTACACCACGGCGACGGCGTAGAGCAAGCCTTCTGGTCAACAGACCGCGTGCTCACGGTCTCCTTCCACAAATACGACAAAGACAACTTCTTCCCAGGCACCGGTGCACGCGAAGACACCGGCCCTGCACACCCGCTCAACCCAGGCGCCCACCACGCAATCAACGTTCCGCTCAACGACGGTATCGACGACGCGTCCTACATCGCCCTCTTCAAAGAGGTAATCGGCGCATGTATGAAGACCTACCAACCAGGCGCAGTCGTTCTGCAATGCGGCGCCGACAGTCTAGGCTGCGACCGACTAGGCTGCTTCAACCTGAACGTGCGCGCGCACGGCGCCTGCGTCGCATACACCAAGACCTTCGGAATACCCATGCTAGTCGTCGGCGGTGGCGGTTACACACCGCGCAACGTCTCCCGCGCGTGGGCGCACGAGACCTCGATTCTGCTCGAGGCAGATAAGATCATCGACCCCACTATCCCGGACTCTGTCGCGTTCCGCAATCACTTCGGTCCTGATTACTCGCTTTTCCCGCCCCTGTCGGAGATGCGCAAACTTGACAATAAGAATACGCGCGCGTACCTTGAGAGCCTTGTCGAGGCTGTCCATGAGCAGCTGAGGTATATCAAGGGCGCGCCCAGTGTGCAGATGAGCTTTATCCCGCCGGACATCCTGGGTTTGCGTGAGGATACCGAGAAAGAGATTGAGGAGCAGACGATGCTGATTGAGGAGGAGAGGGAGGAATATGAAGGAGGTGGATCGATGGCGGCTGCGGCGGCGGCGGCGGCTGGTTCTGGCTTGGCCTATACTGGCTCTGCTGGTGCCATCCCGCGACCTAATCGGCGCCGGGATCTGGAGCGTGGGGCTGGATACAGGGGAGAGTTGTATTCATGATCTCTGTGCAGCTTTGCAGCTTTGTGACGGGTAAGTCACTCCCTGGAGTAAAGAATGGTTTGACATGGCGTTTTGTATGTATTTGGATATCGGAGGGGAGTTTTGGTTGTCTATGTATGGTAATATTTGGTGGCATGGGCAGTTGCCATCTATTGTGATATCCCTCTCTTCTAGGAGAGCTTTGTATAGTAACGGACAGAGAAGACACAAAATTAATTGATCAAAAGCCAATCCTGTAGACATGAACAAAAAAAAAGCCAAGAATCCTGGATACCAAGATGTGAGTGGAAATGGAGAGATTTATCAGAAAGTCCGAAATACTAGGCTTAGGTGTATAAGATGCAGAGAACACCCAACTTCTTTCATATCTACCGTGACTATTGTTTTGGTTCCGTTGGATTGGTTGATGTCTCTGCACTAAACCTTGCTACGTAGCTCTTCTTATTTAGGGCTGTGGGGAATAGAGGATGTGCTCATTTTCATGAGATTTCGGGAATTTGTTTTTCGGATTTTGATTTTTTAGATAAAGCAGATCGGGTATCCAGCAATGAGAGCGGTATGGTGACCGAGAAAAACGCAGTGTTGAAACATCAGAGGGGCAGGGGAGCTATCACAATGGTGTCGGCCGCCTCGAGTTGTGGCTGTGCTGGGTATTTCTGCGCAGGTTGACTACGTCATGGCAGAGAGAGTGAGAGGGGGGGGGGGAGGGAGCGTAATAACACTCCAGGGTCATTCAGAGGTGAAAGTGAGAGAAAAAGGCGACCCGAGCAACCGGGTTTGATTAGGTCGGTGATAGCATAAATGGGGGCCGGAGGTGGACGCAATGGGGCTTTTTTGGGTGGCTTATGAGGTTTCGGCGTCTACAAACATCTCCGCTTCTGGTGTTTGAGAATATATCCGTTCCACGGTGCCTTGAGTGGCATTGGGGTTTGTCTCGGAGCCTGGGGGTGTGGCATTAGCTGGTTGGGGCGGGAGATGCCTGGGGTTCTAGTTCGCGGAACCGGAGCCTTGGGAGTGATGCGGCGGGATATGAAACTGGGATGACTCGTCCTGACCTTGGACGATGGGTACAATTGAAAGGATCTGCTCGGTGGCGACCTTGGAATCGCTCATATCACTAGGACTGTCAATTATGAATCATTGGGGTTTTGAGTGATCGTTTCTTACATTTGAGCATTGATGATCCAGTCAAGGTCTTCTTCACCCTCATCTGGTCCACCGGGGCCGCCTTGGATGGCACGGAAAAGTCGAGGGTGCCATTCGACTCCGTCATGGGCGCGCTTCGCGGCCTCGTCTCGCTGGCGGTCTTCGATCTTGGTCTTTTCGTCCGTTGCAGCTTCATGATCTCGGGCCACAATCGCTTGAACAGTGCTATGCCATAGCCGTTGCGACTCCCGCTCTCCTTGTTCCTCAAAGGGGCGGACCAAAGGAGCTGTAGCCTTCGCGTGTGTCGCATCGAACAAGATGTCTTTTTTGTGGGTCTGCTATCGGTCAGCGTTGAATCCGGAAGTAGCCATGGGAGGTATGCGGGGACGTACATGAACATCCTTCAGGTCCATCTCCCCATTCCACATTCCGGACAGTTCATATAGCACCTCCCCAGTCTGTTCGTTCTTGATAGTTCCCCCGATTGCATTATAAGTACCGGAGAAATATCCTTTGGTCTTGAACTCAATATCGGCCACGAGGTGGTTCTCGGGACAACGCACGTAGCTGTGATCGCCAAGCTCATACCTCATCTTTCCGAACAGAATGCCGCGCGCATACATGTTAGGCTGGGTCAGAATACTGGGGTTTGTCAGTACCCGAAAGGTCTATAGGGACCGGAGCAACATACTATTTTTCGCCCTTTTCTTTATCTCCGTGGTTCAACAGCCGCAAAATGGCGATACCCTCCATAATGCTGGCGGCGGAGTTGCCCAAAAACTTACTGTGGGGCTTGAGTGTTCCATCGATACGAATTTTATGCTCCGGCGCTGCAAAGAAATAGCTCGACTTCGGCGGGTGGTGGGAGGTCTGTTCGGCGATGTAGTAGGCGCGGGTTCCGTCGGGATAGTCCCAGTAGCAAGTGAAGGTCTCTCCTAGAATGGGGTTGAGCGGCTTCTTTACTCCTCTATGCACATGTTAGAATATATTCCCAAGCAAACAGCAAGCGGACGACATACGGCGGTTTGATGTGCCATCCACTCAGATAAAATTTGACCACGGAGATAAAGCGCTCAACGGGATCCTCAATAGCCGACATGGGGAGGAGGGTTTCAGGGTGGGCCATGAAGCTATGGAAATATGTGCGTTAGCTCACATGTCTAAATCATATCCGGTAGCTCTAAGCAGACAGCTTGGAGCTGCGTGTGAACGTACTTGGTGATCCGCTCCAGCATAGACCGGGGCTCAAGGATGAAGGTCGGCAAGACGACACGACTCAGGTCGGCGCCCGGCCGGAGTTGAGAAATGATATGCGAAAGAACTATATATCTCAAGTCAGTGTATGTCCGGGGTTATCCGTGATGATTTGCACGCACCATTTCCCTGATCGGGCTCAACGATCTCGTCCTCTCCACTTGGCGGGGAATCTTCCATGGATGACCTGGACGATCTGCCTGGCTCAACGTTAGTTGACATGTTGAAATTATTTGTAGGGATAAAAAGTAAGGAGGGGAAGACAAAACTTACTGGCCTGGGAAGCATGGCGGAGATGCGGAACCGGCATGACTGCGTTCGGAAATAAGCTACACGGAATTTCGCTAAACCCAGGGCATTTATGAAATAAAAAGAGAATACTGAGGATATTTGGAAAAGATAAAATAAAGAAATAGATGCCTAAAAAGACCGCTGACTTGTTTTGGCGGTAATTCCGGAAACCGGGCTTTTTTTTTTTTTTACTATGGAGAAAAAAAAAAAGAAAAAAAAATAGTTCACAAGAAACAGGACACTAGAAGCACTAAAATATTCAAAAATCATCGAAAATACTCATACGTCAAATGCTTAGCAGGAGGGGCTAGTGACGTTTTAATTTTCTAACTGGGATCTAAGGTGCTTATTCACATATACAACTAGCTATACCTGGGTATAGATCGCTCTGCAAAATAAGAAAATAGAGCTCTCCTTTCTGTTTATGTGCTTTATGTGCTTTATGTGCTTTATGTGCTTTCTGTTCTTCCTGTTCTTTCTGTTCTTTCTGTTCCATTCAACGTTTTTCCATCGTCAATGAGGGGCAGGCTTGGCAAGGAATTCCCCTGGGACATTAACGTATATGTAAACCGACATTTGGACTTTTGTCCCCCTTCTTTCCCCTCTATTTCTTCAAGAGGGTTACAAACAGTGGATATTCCGGTCAATCAGCGGTATATCCCCGTGGGTGATCTCCCTAACAAATTCCATATCGGGACGATGAAGCATGACGTGGAAGTGTTCTATCCCGGGAACCGACTTGAGTGACTTCCAATTCTTGAACCAGACCACCTATGTTGTCAGCCCTTTTCTTCATGATAATGACATTTCCCATACCTGTTCACGTGGTACCCGAGAGAACGTCTTCTGCACATAGTTCTCTATGGCCGCTCGTGCGCTTGGCGTTAGGTCATCTGTGGTTGGATCATCTTCCAGTTGGAACTTGGTCCACACTACCAGATGGATGATGTCCTTATCCACACCATATGGCCAGTCGTTGTATATGATTCGGATGTCCTCTACAGATCTGTTAGTATCCACGTGCTCTAAACCCAACCAGGTGACCTGTGCCATACCCTCGTATTCGAAAGGACCACCTCTTGGCTTGATGTCTTCCACGTTGCCATCCCCCCACCCCAGCCTTTCTTTCACTATAAACCTCATGACGGATGTATATTCCGCCTTGATGTGCGCCATGTATTCCAGATACTTGCGCAGCTCGCTTGGGACACGCTGGAACCGATCGATCCGGTTGGTACCTGTTCACAAGTTATAGTTAGTGAATTGGTATATCACTAACCAACAGTTGTACTCAACTGGTGATCTCCTTCACCTGCTCCCAGTTCTGTCGGGTATAAAGGTGGTCAGGGGTCGAGAGGCATCTGATATTCTTTGGCGATTGGTCACGTAGAAAACTAGGACATTCGGCCGTCCATTGCGACCGAGGTAAATTGACGAGCCAGTACGGGAGGCTTGTGGAGTATAGGCTGGGATCCTCGAAGCGCAGGGCCGCATCGGCGTCGGTTAATTTTCCATCGGGGGTGCTGATTGGGGCCGTTGATAGACTCCCAGAGTGAAGCATCGCGGCTAGATTGAGCTCTAGTCTAGTCTGTACTAAAATGTGATGGTTCGAGTGCTCCCCCCTGGGACGACGTCACTTTGCAGTAGTGCCGAAAGGGGGTAGGTATGAAGTTGAGGTGTTTCCGGCAACTTGTCGATCACGGATCCACAGATCTATTTTTATACCTGATATATTACTGGCATTCCAATTTGTTTCAAATATACGGAGCACAATCTCAGACACTGAGAGCTTGTGTGGTTTGTTTTCTCCAATTTGAACACAGACTGTGGGATAGGAGAAACCCATCACACAGGCCTTAGGCCCCCATAGGGTCAGGACGATGGAGCTGGATATCTCGCCCCTTCTCTCCCTCCGCTATGGAACATAGTAAATGCACACACTCTTTCTATCCACAGAAATTGCTAATTGTGTAGCATTCCTTAGGGTAACACATTCACGTGAAAATCTATTGCCTTCATAAACATTGCTATCACGAGATCTTCAGCCAGGCGGCGTGAAACTTGAATCCAAATTCAACACCAGACGTGGAGCAATAGATACCCGGAAAGGGATATTTGAGAAAATAAGACAGATCGCTACTTCCCTCCAAGTTCCTCGATGATGGGGTCATTCATAGAGATGATAGACACCCCGGCAATCTTAAGTTCATCCTGAACGTCATTCCAACTAGTAGGCTCGACACACTTTGTTGCTTCCTGAATAACCCAACTTTTGAATCCAGTCTTGACAGCATCAATAGCTGTAGCCTTGACACAATAATCCCCAGCCAAGCCCACAACAAATACATCTGTAACGTCTTGAGCTTTGAGGGTTGCGGCAACATCTAGGCTGACCGAAGGCGCGTTTGTTCCATGGTCACAGTTTCCGAAAGCATCCGCAAATACAGAGTACATCTCGACTCCGGGGCTCATGCCTTTGTGAACAACTAGGTGGTCGCTGGAGGTGTCAATCTCTGGGATAATCTCCGCGCCGGGGGTGCCAGCCACACAGTGGACCGGCCAGAGTTGCTGTAGTTTTGTTTCTGATTCCTTTCCTGGAGCGGGGTTGTTTATCGTGACGAATGAAGTAAAGGGATGATTATCGGGCCCTGGATGATTACTGGCAAATGAGATATGATCTTCTGGGTGGTAGTCTTTGGTCATGATGCGTGCGACAAATGCTGGCTTTGCGAGTAAAGTATTGATTATCGGGGCAATGCCGCGACCTCCTGCCACAGCGAGTGACCCATGCTACTCTGTCATTAGCATATATAATCTTCTACTGTATACATTCAACTCACTGGAGGACAGAAATCTTCTTGCATGTCCACCACAATCAGGGCTGGCGTGATAATACCATTTGCTGCCATTTTGAGCTGGAAAGATGTGGGAGTAAAGAGCTGTTGATGGAGGCTATGGGATTATAGAAGAGTTTAAAACTTTGGAGATGGTAGATTCTGATTGATACCCTATGAGTAAAAGAAAGGGCGACGAGACTTTATTAAAGAACAAGGGAGGTGTAACTACTGTACACGATTACGATAAGCTAATTTGTCAGGCAGAATATGAGCTCCCGTTAGCTCGGTATCCAGGCGGAAGAATAGGCGGTAAACCATGACTAAGCCAGGGCACTAACAAAACGAAGCTTTCCAACTTTCACCAAACTCGCTCTTCTCTCGTCTCTCAGGGCTACGGCCCGTGATAACTGGTATGTGTCTCGTCTTACCTTCCCCTTCCCTCAACCTGATGAATACCTTATTGGAGCTGTCTGAGCTTTTGCTATGCGGATAAACTTTATACGCTTTTTTCTGAACTTGTGTTTTCACTTCTCACGTCACAAAAAAAACTATTTTAAATCAGTCGCTAACTGCCTCTGATAGTCAAAAACAGATTGTAAAACTCAAAGAAACCCTCATGGTCATCGACTCCCAAATACCTAGAAGCAACCCTTAGTCTCTATTATCATTTCCATAGTCTCCCCCTCAAAATGGCATATGATCCCCGCCGAACAAACTCGGGGACCTCAACTCCCCAACCTCCTCCCCCTCCCCCTCCACCAGAGACCACACAAGCCGACATGGCCTCAGCAGCCCAAGCCCTAGAAACGTCCAACCCGGCCAACACAGCCCCAGACTCGTACAAGCTCAAGTTCTGCACAGTCTGCGCCTCAAACAACAACCGCTCAATGGAAGCTCACCTCCAGCTCTCCGGCGCCCCAACAGCCTTCCCCGTGATATCCTTCGGTACAGGCTCCCTCGTCCGTCTCCCCGGCCCATCAATCACCCAACCAAACGTGTACAGTTTCAACACAACCTCCTACAACCAAATGTACGAAGAGCTCTCCGGCAAAGACGAGCGTCTGTACCGCAGCAATGGTATCTTGAACATGCTCGACCGCAATCGACAGCTGAAGTGGGGACCAGAGCGGTTCCAGGACTGGGTGCCTGGTGTCCCGCGTGTCGACCATCTCTCTAAGGGTGACAAGGGTGCGGTCGGAACGGAGGGCGGCGTCGTCGATGTTATCATTACCTGTGAAGAGCGCTGCTGGGATGCCGTTGTCGATGACCTGATGAATAAGGGAACCACACTCAATTACCCCGTGCATGTATTCAATGTCGATATCAAGGATAACCATGAAGAGGCCTTGACTGGTGGAAAGGCGATCCTTGATCTGGCCAATCGTCTGAATGAGGCTGCTGTCGCCGAGCATCGCGTTCATGGCTCCGAGGGCTGGGAAAATGGGACTGGTCCTGCACGCCAGAGCTTTGATGAGAAGGTCCCAGAGATCTTGGCAGATTGGCAAGAACGATACCCAAATTTGCCGGCACTGTGGACTTTAGCTTGGCTTTAGTTCCCTGTCTACGTTGCGATCTGGATTTCTATTTACCTATAGCCTTCCCAAGGGAATGGTTTAATACCAATGATTTGCAGGTGCCATGTTATCCAGCTGAAGTGTTTTTTTTTTAGCGTGGTCAGATATCGCCATTATTTAATGCATGTTATACAACTAGAAAGGGGGTATCAAACGGGAACGAATAGCAACGAAAGCAAAAACCACTCAAAGATCTTGGCTCTCCTCCTTGGGGTCCTTCTCATCTTTGATCCATTCATTTTTCACATCCATCTCCTCCTTAGGAACCGTTTCGTCTTTGATCCAATCTTCATGAGTATTTTGGTCCGCAGAAAGTAGAATCTCTCTCCTCTCTCGATACCACTTGTCGAGACAAGCTCGCCGCTGCGCCTGGGTCATACCCTCGACAACGAGCGCAAACTCCGTAGCATCAGCGTATCCGAACCGCCGCGCCATACTACAGAACTGGCGACGTATTACATCCTCCGGGGGATGATAATTGAATCGCATAGGTTCCCCTGTTGGCTGAGAGAAAGGCTGCGAGGACATGAAAACCTGACGGTCACCTGTCGTATCATTTGGAGCCAGTTCAGCGCGACGACTGAGGTCTTCCTCGACACGCGAGGAACCAATCACTTCATTGTTGAGGTGGGTGTATTCCACGCCTGCGCTTGCGAGAATCGCTTGAACGGGATCGTGTTTACGCGGTGTTGGAAGATTGGCCGAAGGCTTATGGTCTTTTTTGTCCTCATCTTCGCCGCAGATCATCGCCGCGAGTTGGCTCATTGCCTCATCTTCGGATTTCATTGGTCGATCGGTGTAGTCGTAGCCTTCTTCTTCTGCTTTAATGTCTATGTCGACGACCTGTACACCCGCACGGCTTTCAGCGACATTCGTTCTGTTGACAATATCGCGCAGAACGATGTTCGTATTCTGATACCCGAAGAAATTCTTCAGACCAAAGATCTCACCCTTTTGGTCTTTCTTTTCTTGAACGCCTTTGAAGTACCGACGCTCAGAGCTTGCGTTGTATCCAATGTTTGCTTGTTGCTGCTTGTAGATCTGTCGAGCATAGACGATTTCTTCGATCGTGCCGGCAGAAATAAGCCGGAAGACTTCCACATCGCGAAGTTGTCCTATGCGGTAAGCTCGGTCTTGGGCCTGCAAGTCGTAGGACGGATTCCAGTTTGGATCAACAACTACCACTTTGTTTGCCGAGGTGATGTTCAAACCAACACCACCGGCCTTGGTTGATATTAGGAAAACAAACTGTCGCGAGTCGGCATTGAATTCGTCCACAGCTTTGGCACGGTCATCGAGACTCATAGATCCATCCAGGTAGCTGACGTTGTAGCTAGTGTGATGTAATAGCATTTGCAACATCTTGAGAAGACGCACGCTGTGCGAGAAAATAAGAACTTTGTCTCCATTCGAATGCCACCACTTAAGTAGCTTCCGTAGAACCTTCCACTTGCCGCAAAACTCAGGGTTCGCATAGTTGATGATCGAGTCGCGCGAGCGGTAAAGATCTTCCCATTGTTCAGGCAGTGCGAGTTCCAAATAATCTCGATCTTTTTCCTGCTTTTCTTTTGGGTCTACTCCTTGTGGTATCAGGATTGCCAGATGATTGCTGAGCTTTTGAAGCACGTTAATAGCAGGGAACACATAGGATTGCCAGGCTGGAGGGTCCCTATCGGGGATAAAGCGACGACAACACCAGCCGGACTTTTTGCCCGATCCACAATCGCATGGCTCCGTAGATGTCTTGATATAATCGACGATGTCACTGTCAAGGAAATTCTCGTAGGCCTCGGCTTGTGTCTCGGTCAGGGGACAGAAGACAACCCGGTCGACCTTTTTGGGCAGCTGATCCGCGATCAACGACTTCATTCTCCTGATAAAAAATTGTGGAAGTAGATTCTCGACTAGTTTCTTGGCTGTTCTCCGTGCTCTGCTGAGCTCGCTCAGGGTAGCATCATGCGATTGTCCGATCTTCAGTGGTTCTGATATTTGTGCCTTCCAGGTGGATACCGGACCCAGAACACCGGGGTTTGTCCAGTTGAGAAGGGTCCATAATTCTTCATATTTGTTCTGGATAGCCGTGCCCGTGAGTCCTATCCGGCATAACGCATTGATCTCGTTCATAGACTGGGTGGTCCCCGACTTGCGCTCCTTGATCTTATGGCACTCGTCTGCGATCACGCAGTCCCATTCAATCATATTGACAGAGTCTTTGTTGTTCATGTAAGTGGTGTAGGTTGTAATCAGGATTTCCACTCTCCCCGACTTTGCCGCATCGAGGGTAAGGTCCTTATTTTCCCCGTGATAACTTTCAACATGCCACCATCCCCAGCGCGCAAACTCAGCCCGCCAGTTTGCAATAAGGGATCCTGGGCACACGATGAGCGTGCGTGGGTACCAAGCGCCGTCATCAGATCTGCGCATCTTTCGCATGCGCTTTGCGTCCCGTTCGTCCCCAGTTTTTCCATAGGTAGCGGTCAAGAAAGCAATCACCTGAATGGTTTTTCCGAGACCCATGTCGTCTCCTAGGACACCACCCTTTTGGTATACAAACAACTCGTGGAGAAATGCAACTCCCTCCACTTGATACTGCCGCAACCACTGGGCGATCGGGGCAGGAATGATGCCCATCGAATATGGAAGTTGGATGTCCTTATACTCCTGCTTTCGGGTGTTGACCGGAAAGACAGGTCGTTCTTGAAGTTCTTCAAGTCGTTCATCATCTGAAAAATCAACATCCTCGTAGGTGGGTGGCAGTTTGAGTCCGTGGTCCTGTAGGTGCTTATGCTTTCGGTCAAACTGACTGCGGCGGGTTTTCAGATATCCGGGCAAGGTATTTTCCATGAGCTCATCTTCTGAAGGTGCCTCGCCCCATTGCTTCAACGGCCGTTTAGGCAGAGGCGCTGGTCGCTCTTGTTTTATTCGACCAACGATCGGATCTCCCCTAGGAATTTTGGCTTTTCGAGTTGCTGCAGCGGTTTGTTTGCGCTTGAGGGACTTGCGTTCTTTGAATTCCTTGTACGCTAGCTCGCCATCGTTGGCGTCTTCCTCATCGCTGTCCACGGGCTGGATCTTTACAGCGCTTGACGACCCGGTATGAGGAGTACGCGGCGATTCGGGTTTAGCTGGCGCGGCAGCCCCGGATTTCACACCGGAGAGCCTGTCTGTAGAGAATGTGAGCTGTCTGTCAAACGCGTCGAAGAGGTGTCATACTGCTAGCGGTTGGAGTTGCATAGTGCGTCACCTCCAAGTCGTCATCATCTGAATCAATGATGATGACCTCCTCGGTGTTCTCATTATTTGCCATATTCCCTGCATTTCTGAATATAGATCTCAAAGGGTGATAGAGTGCAAGTCGAAGTGGAAGTACCAGACTGTCGCGACACAGAGTCCTTTACGGCAAGTGATAACGGCCACAAAGCGAAGTTGAATCTGTTCACTCAAGAAAGCTTCAATTAAACAATTTTCAACGTAGATTTTACTACTCTGTTTCACTTTCCATCTTGTAAAGAGATAAATCTCATTAATATCTCCTGCGTGTTCAAAGAAGTGACACTATTCTTTCTACATTTATAGTTGTTACGCCAGGTCACGTGCAGGAGAACCAGAAAAAAAAGATGCTCTCATTGGTTTGGCATTCGATTCTTTGCATATGCGATAAAGCCAACGTAAGTCGAGAATAATATTCTACGTCCCTCATTACTCAATCAAGACACACCCGACTGACCCAAGCTCACAGAGGACACAGAATAAAGCTTGAATTCCTGCTTGACATATCCTCTTTTCATCGACAACTTTTGTTCTTATCAGAAGCTCAATTCAACCCGCAAAGATGCCGCTGGACACCTCGACAACATATCCCCTGACGCGGCTGCGTCTTGACGGCCGCCGCTGGAACGAACTCCGTCTGCTCCAAGCCCAGATCTCAACCAACCCCGCCAGCTCCGGCTCTTCATACCTGTCCATGGGCAACACATCAATCATGTGCTCTGTCCACGGCCCCGCCGAAGGTCGCCGAGGAGATGGCGGAGGCGGAGCTGCAGGAAGTGGTCATGCAGTTGTGGAAGTAGACGTCAATGTCGCCGGTTTCGCCGGTGTAGATCGCAAGCGGAGAGCCGGTGGAAGTGATAGGTATGTGCACACTCTTACGGCTTCCCATTACCTCTTTCTGTTATAGGAAGAGGATTACGAGGATAGCAAAACCAGATACAAATATAGTCAATGCTAATCTCCCCGGACTACAGACAATCATCACGAATTGCTACAACCCTCCGCTCAGCCTTCCAGTCTCACCTCCACACCTACCTCTATCCCCACAGCACAATCAGCATCCATGTCTCCGTTCTCTCCGCCGATGGCTCATTGATGGCCGCGGCGATCAACGCCTGCACTCTAGCGCTCGTGGACGCTGGAATTCCCATGCCGGGACTACTCACTGGCTGTACTGCCGGCATGAGCGGCAGTGCTTCTACACCGCGTGACCCGCGACACGACGAGCTTGATCCTCTGCTGGATTTGTCGCTCCCGGAAGAACAGGAACTGCCTTCGCTCACTGTTGCGACAACGACGGCAGTGCCCGTTGGCGAGGACAATATGGATGAGGACGATGAGGCCATGAAGGTCTGTGTGCTTACTATGGAGTCTAAGGTTCACGCTACGTACCTTGAGACGATGTTGGCGGTCGGGATCGATGGGTGCAGTCAGATCCGCGAGTTGTTGGAAGATGTCATCAAAGGATCCCGGGGGTGACGCAGAAAAAGAAAAAAAAAAATCAAAAGGAGATTCAAATGGGAGAATAGTTCAAGTTGATACCCTGTCTTACGTTTAATGTTACCAGTTACGGCCATTCCGAGAATTTGCTCAAACTACCTCCCACTAAGCTTTTAGGGCCAAATCTATAAATGTGCTCATATTGCTCATATTAGGGTACATAGAAAGGCTCCTCTATTCTCCGGTTTCTTTATTTACATATCCTGCACTGTTTTCGCTTTGTTTTGTCTCGATCAACACGAGAATATCTCGACTTACTGCTCCCCAGGGTCCTCAGTCAACATTTGATCATGGATATGGATGGGATGACCATGCCAATGGCCACTTCGACAAGCTCAGCAGCTATGGCCAGCAGCACCGGAATGGAAATGGATGGAATGAGCATGGGAGGTAGCTGCAAGATCTCGGTTAGTCTAATAACAATCCCAGATTCACTACTCTATACACCAGATTCAAACTTACACACAGTTATTAGATGCTCTGGAACTGGTACACAGTTGACGCATGTACGAAGCCCTATATCTCCTCTATACAATCCCACAAAGCTAACCCAACCACCCAGGCTTCCTCGCCAAATCATGGCACGTAACCTCTCGAGGCATGTTCGCCGGCTCATGCATTGGAGTAATCTGCCTCGTCTTGAGTCTCGAACTCCTCCGCCGTCTGGGCCGAGAATACGACTCGTTCATTGTACGTCGAGCCCGTCTACGAAGACTCTACATGCCAGGCTCTTCCACCGCGCAATCCGTCTCCAACGTTCCCCTGCGAAGCGAAGAAGACACCACCAAGCCGCCTAGCAACTGTTGTGGCAATACAGAGACCGATGCTACGTTTTTCAATGCAGACGACGACCTTATCACTCCTGTGTCTGGTACTCCCCAGAACGGCTCGAAGAAGCAGGCTTCTGCTGCGTCGGCTAATGCCATGCGGGATGTCGGTACTCAGCGCATCGAGAGACAGGATGTTATGCTTGCCCCATACCGTCCGTCGCTTGTTGAACATACTTTGCGCTCTTTGCTGCATATGGCGCAGTTTGCTGTTGCGTACATCATCATGTTGCTTGCTATGTACTTCAATGGGTATATCATCATCTGTATCTTCATTGGTGCTTTCCTAGGCGCGTTTATTTTCTCCTGGGAGCCGGTGAACTTGAATAAGGAGTAAGTTGTTCTGTCTGTGTATTAACTACTATGTATTTTTTTGCTAACATTTCTTTCTTCAGGTCAGATGCTACGTCTGTCACCAAGTGCTGCGGTTAAACAAGTGTTACACGGTGTTGTCTTGGCCTCAGGTGCCAATTACAATTTGGTACAGCAATTGTAGGGGTTGACATCCCAGTTTTCTTCAATTTTGAAGACAAGGCAATATGCAGTTTCTTGTGCCCAGAATTAGTTAGCTTCCCATAATGCCATGACGTATGAACCCTCTCCAAGGTTCCCTCTAATCAATTGCCTTACTGATATTAAATGAAAAAGACTTAGAAGTAGAGCATGTATAGAATGAACAATATCAATATCCCATTACTACTTGGATGGTTTCCTTGGAATTGAAGGTGGAAACTTTTTCCACGAAAAAAAAACTTGCCGTCTCACGCGGGGTACGTTAATGTAGCAGCGCGCGGACCCGCGATCAAAGTCCTCGACTCAACACATGAACATGTGGAGGTTACTGGGAAAAGGGGACATGTAATATGGTGATTTAAATGATAATTTGCTTTGTAGTAGATTAGCATGAAATATGCATTAGTTAAGTTGGGTTGGACCATTTTGGCTTTGCGCATCCTGTCTTACAAAAAATGGGTAAACATCCATGGATGCTCGCTTTTACCAGTCCTCAGATCTACAAATTGAACATCAAGTCCTCACGGCAGAAAGGCATGTATAACTAGCTTGGTAGAAACTTTAGATTACAAGGCGCAAAAGGGAAAGCCACCTATGCTAGTCCCACGCCGCACTGTAGCGACGGGAAAAGAACCACGTTCATGACGAAAAGAAAGACATTCATCCTCCAAACACCCAACTAAATCTCCAGAATGAGCTTTTTAGTTGCCACCGCAGTTGACGATGGTGGGCTTAGAGTTGGAGCGGATGGAGCCGGAGGCAGAGCCGAGAGCCTCGATCTCCTTGACAACGTTCATGGACTCGGCATCAGCGACCTCACCGAAGACGACGTGCTTGCCATCGAGCCAAGAGGTGACAACGGTGGTGATGAAGAACTGGGAGCCGTTGCTGGAAAAAAGGGGAGGAATGTTTAGTATGGTTCTGTGGACCAGGGATACAAAACTGAGACTTACGTGTTGGGGCCAGCGTTGGCCATGGACAGGAGACCAGGGCGGGTGTGCTTGTGGATGAAGTTCTCATCGGGGAACTTCTCACCATAGATGGAGCGACCACCGGTACCCTATTCCGGTAAAATAAAAAGTCAGATACTGAGCATTGCAACGAGCATCAAGATTATGGGGGGGGGGGGGGGGGGAACTTACGTTGCCACGGGTGAAGTCACCACCCTGGAGCATGAACTGGGGGATGACACGGTGGAAGGAAGAGCCCTTGTAGCCGGAACCCTCCTTGGCGTTGCAAAGCTCAGCGAAGTTCTTGGCAGTCTTGGGGACCTCGTTGGCGTAGAGGTTGAAGTTGATGCGGCCAGTCTTGGCTAATGAGGGAATTAGCATCAATTTCAATTCCAATTAATGTAGCACGATGTGAGGTTGCCAAGCTTTAATACTGATATTGAAAGCTGGAGGTTGGAGGCAGCAAGGTAAGATTGGGGGAGCAAAAACTCTCTGCCCCGCCAGAAAGAGGAATAACAAAGCTGATGGGAACTTACGGGTGGCGGAGCCAGCAGGGGTGTACTGGACCTCGAAGAAAGCAGTGGTGTTGGACATAGCGGCGGTTGATGAAGCGAAAGATCGGGCAGCGGGGTGGAAAGTAGTGCAATTGAAGAGAGAAGAAGAGAAGAGGGAAGAGGGTGGGGTTATTGACCTCAGTCGGCAGAACATGGTGAGGGGCAGGCGGAGCGGGTGAACTCGGGTGCCGGGCTATTCTGGGATTAGCTTGTTGAGGTTCAAATAAAGACCACTTGTGCACTTTCTGCCTGAGGCTCCACTTTAGAGCTGCTCCAGACTCTCCAGGGGGAAAACATGCTTCTGTTGTCTAATAACGTCTCTGAAAGAGTCTGAAGCAAAGTGAAAATGCACTCTAACATTCACATGACAAGGGACCAAGCTCACTTACAAAGGATATAGATTGATGAGGAATGCGAATTAACGAAGTAGAAAGAAGGAAAAAACCGAAGCTCAATGCCAAAAAGCGTCTAGAGCTCCGTGATTATGTAATGGCTTCCGGGATATCCCTGCCGGACTCGTAGCCTTGGCTACGAGAAGATAACTATGCATCTTTTAAGGGGTAAACTTGTGTTGATTAATGGTATAGTCATTGAACTGAAGATATAGGGGGTGCTTTCATTTCACCTGTATACCTTCAAAATGCAAGGAAATAACTGCCCGATATCAGCAAGCGGTCGTGAGATTAAAAAAAATAAAATTTGAACAAATCAACATGAAATCAGGCCGAAAACCTAAATGAATAATAGCAAGGGGCTAAAATAAGGTACAAAGAATAAGATAATATGAAAGAAAAAGTGACGAGAGGGAAAGGAACCCTGTAAATGCCACACATATCGGGACATCGTTTCGACATTGTCCACTCGTTGCCATAGATGAATGATCGCTGAAAAGCAAGGGGCAAAGAAGAATGAATATAAAGAAGAATTCTAGAGGAAAATAAGAAGAAAAATTGGGTACCCCGAGTTCATGTCATGAAAGACAATGCCTCGGATCAAGCCCATCACCGGAAGTCATCGTCATCGTCCTCGTCGGCAACTACCGATGTAGCCTCGAGGCGCTGAACAAGGTCCTTGGTTTGCCGAGCGATCTCAAATGCAATGGGAGGCAGTTTGTTCGTGAGTTCACGCAATTGCTCAGGAGTGGTAGCGTGTTCGCCCTCATCAGCAGTGGCTGCCAACCGGCCGCGGCATTGGTCCAATGTCACGATGACCGGTTCAGATGTCTGCCGCAAAGCCATGTCTCCGCTGCGTTCGCGCATCAGATGCTCTGTAGCGGAAACGACATTCGCAACAACGTTCGAAATGGCAGAGACGTGCGTCTGCACAGTATGCAGGTTGTCCTCGGCTCGGATACTAGCCACCAGAGCCTGGATCTGTTGGACCATGCCATCCGTCTGGTCTTCGACATAAAGCTAGGATCATCCGTCAGTAAATCATTCGTCGCGATATTGTCATTCTTGAGTCGACTCACCTTAAGCTCCAACACCTCGTGATCTTCTTGTACATGTCCCCAGCCATGATTGAGGTCATTGGTGTGACCATTCTGCACAGGGTACTGAGAGTCATCCGGACGACTTATAGCACTGTAGACGGAGTCGTTGCTCATCCGCTTTTGACTGGCAGATGTATCGAAATAGTCAGGGAATTGTCCCTGGGATACAGCTGCTTCGTCATCTTCATCCTCCAACTCATCTACAGGCGATGCCTGGATCTTCACCACGCGTATTAGGTCAACAATGGCTGTGCAAAGATGGGAGGCTGCTGCATCAAGGAGCGACACCGGAGAGAGACCACTAGAGCTGGCAAAGTTGCGCGTGGCGGTAATCACGTTGTTTGCTGTCGTAGACACCTGGCCCTTGACCTTTGCGCGCAGAGCAGCCGACCCATCCACCGGGATCGGGGAGCATTCCACGTCCTGTAGAATATGGCGGACTGTTGCAATGACCATATTGATCTGGTGGAGCACCACATGCGATTCCTCGAAGCGCGCAACTCGCAGGAGCTCATCCACAGACAGCTGGAACTTGGTAACGTGAATATCCTTGACCAGCCCGTCGGCCTGCACCAACTCATGCTCTTTAGCAACAAGACTTGCGTCAGGTCGCGAGTCGGCGAAACCACCAGACGACGTGCGAAGTTGCCGCAGCTGCGCCTTGACCTTGGCGTAGCGATTCCTCCATTCGTTGGCATCTGCCTCGAGTCTGTGGACCTCGTTCGAGAGCCTTTCTTCGCGTTCCCAATTGGAGTGACTCTCCGCTGAAAGGGTCTTCATTTCCATGAGGAAAGTCGATGCCTCGCGGCGAACTTCGTCGGTCACTCGTTGCTGTTGCTGTAACTCTGCCTGTAACTTCTGGTGCTGAGTCTCTAGATCAACATAGCGCGCTTGTAGACCTGCATCATCAACACCTCGGGAAGACTCATTGAGCTGGCTGCGAAGATCCCGTTCCATGGTGTCATGCTCGGTTCTAACCCGCTCAAGCTCCAGCTGAAGCGAGCTGTTGAGATCCTCAGCTTTTGATACCTTGCTCTCAAGGTCGTGTCGTAAGTCGTCCCACTCCTGGCGTTCGCTATGACTGATCCCGGAGGAATCTGCATCTTGTGATGACTGGGCCAGCTCCTCGTCCTTGGAGCGGACCAATTCCTCCAATTTTTCAATCTTATCTTGGAGAATCGATACTTGTGTCTGGCTCTCCAGTAACAGTCTCCGTTCACTGTCACCCAAGGTTGTTGTAGTACCCCGTCGGCTCAAAACTGCATCTAGGGCGAACGCATCACTCCGAGCATCATCCTCGTCCTCGGGCCCCATATCATCGCTATCCTCGACCATTGTGCTTTTATTCGGAACCATCGTATTGCTCTGGAAAGACCGGGGAAACGGTCCATCGCCATTCATACTCGGTGGGCCTCCAAGAGAACCAGCGCGCGGAGGAAATGGACTGCCTGGGGGACCGCCAGACGGGTACCCTCGTCCCATACGGGAAGGAGGTCCCCGAGAAGACTGCTGCGAGGTACGAGAGCTGGGAGGGCCCATATTTGGAGGCGGCCGGGCGCGATATTCTCGGCTGGTGAAATGCGGAAAGCGGCGCTCCAGCTCACAGAAGACATCGGTCGCCAGATCACGGAAACGCACATGGTGAAGTGCAGCGAGCTTTTGGCGGGCATGGTTGCGCTTTTCGTGGAAGTCGGGGCGAGCGGGGAGGTAGGGAGGTACGTCTGGACGAGGGGGCCGTCCGGGAGGCGGCGAGGCCTGCTGTCGCCGGATCAATTCGTCGTAAACATCGGTGGAAAGTTCATGGAACTGGGTTGGTGATAGTCGCAGCAGTTTGTCCCGGGCTTTATTTGACTTTCCACGGTCGTCGCGGGCTGTGCCATTCAGGAATCTTTTCAGGACCACATAGTGCTGACCCAGTATCTC